GTACAGATAAGATACATCAATGTAATTTCATTTGTCGGAGTACAAGGTTTTATTTTTTCAATAAAAATTTATGGTTTTTTAAGTGGGTTTTGTCCCACTTCTCAAGAATGACTGAAAATGTATTTTGCAGAAATGCTTAGTATTTTAATAGTATTGTCTGAATTTGGAATTTCAATATTTTAACATCATGATGACTAGCCTGTATCATTCAGTATCACGGTATATGGATCAATGACATTGCTCTCTTTTTGTTCGGATTTGCTTAGTTAATAAAAATACAAATGCGATTTGAAATAACTAACTAAATAATACATACTTGAAGGATGTTTTCTATTTCAGTTTCTAAAAAACACAAATGTGTAGGTGGTGTAACATTAATAGACAGAACTTCTTTAAGTAATATTGGAACAATGCATTTATTATTATTAGGCCTACTGTTAAAACAAATAAAAGCAAAACAGAAGCAGTTCTAATTTAAAATATTATGAATATTCAAAAGCAAAAGTCGTGAGGTGTAATCAGCATATAGGAAGCCATTTTGCTGTCATCTGAAAAAAAAAACGTAATACAAAAAGTCTCCTGTAGATCCTCAAGACTTTGTCTAAAGGTGTTTTATTCATTTATTTATTCATTAATAATCACATATTTTCATCTTTTTTTTACAAAAAGTTATGTTTTGTCCTGTTTAAATTCTCCTGACATAACAAGGCTGACTCCAGTTTATACATTACACATCCACTCTGTCTGTCTTTCTCCAGCTTTCTGATCTCTGGAGATGGGATGGTGTATGAAGGGCGAGGATGGGGGATTGTAGGGGCCCATGCAAAGGAACACAACTTCAATTCTGTTGGCATCGCGTTCATGGGCAACTTCAATGGTGAGAACGCATCTACTTCTATTATCACTTTAAATTTCATGTTTTAATTATTGTACTTTGTGGCGTTCACACTATATATTATTTATTGTTCTGTTGTGATGTTTAGTGGGTTTGTAAATAGAAATAGAGATCGTGCATAAGAATTGGATTTTACTTTGGCAATGAAGTAATGACTTGTCTAAATGAAGCAGACTATACAATACAAATGAACAAAAATACACACATTATAAAGAAAATTTCTCTTTGCCTGTAGATGAAATGCCCAGTTCTGCAGCACAGTCTGCTCTGCTGAGATTGCTGCACATTGGAGTGCTTCACGGTCATGTGTGGCCCAATTTTGTGCTTGAGGGACACCGAGACGTGGCAAAAACGGAGTGTCCGGGGGAATATTTATACGCTCTACTACCAAAACTAAGAGACCAGTTACAAAACCAATGATCTCTTTTCTATGCATATACATTGCATTAAATCCCTGCTGTGTGTGTAGCAATGTGTGAATGTGAAAATGTATGATAGGTTTAATTTTGCTCTAAAATTACATGTTACAGTCTTGTGTGCCTTGTTAAAATCCCTTAATAAAATCTCCTAAAGTAATACTAATGGATTGATTTTATCAAAATTTTTAACCAATCCTGAAGGGCATAATTAAGAGTCCTACTGGGGAATTAAATTATGAAAAATAGAAAATTCTGTTTATCCAGTAAGAGGATTCATCTTTTTGATTCCTTTAGGATTGGATACAAATTATAATAGAAATCCTATATTAACAGTCCTTTATGATTTATGGATGAGAGATATGTTACAGATGATTTCTTTAAAGATTAGACTTCTTGAAATCTCCTAAATCACAATTAAGTTATTATTT